AAAGTACACAAACCAGTCCTTGATAACTAAACCCTGCAGGGCTGTCTCACCCCTCAGCCAAGACTACTTTTTCTTTTCCTTCTTCCTAGTGCCTGCAGTTCTGCATTGCAATGCAAAGGGCAAAATGGCAGAAAATGTTGATGGGAGCGATGTTAGCTGTAGGCAACGAAAAAGAGAATGCATCCATCGTGTTCAGGGCCAGCTCTGTGGTGTAAGTGATTTGTAAGTAGTACATCCCTGCTTTCCACTTTTCAGACTTGGCATTTTGACTTTTGTCTAACCTCTTTCCCTTTCTCGCTACGTGGTGGGCAGAAGTTTCATTTTGTTGCTTTATTGTCTCTCAGCTCCTTATTAAATACAATAAGTTAAAACCACTGCCTTTACAGCCATCCCTCAAGAGGGAAGAAGTGAGTTACTGTGGTGTCACTCCTGTGTTCCTGACCTAGGAGAAGAAAAATTGTGGGATTGCTCTCCTTTGCCTCTGCAAGGAATAAATATCTTGAACTGATTCTTGAGCTATAGCGTGCTGTAGTCTTCTCACTGTTTCCTCCATTCACTTCCCACTCTTTAAGACAAAATAACTGCCTCTTCATCTAAAGAGATTTATCTATTCACTTTCGTGCATGGACAGAAAAAAACCATTTCTTCCCCCGCAACAATGCAGCTAACTCTGGGGTAGAGCTTGACAGCTATTTCACAGCACAGAAGGAGTGGCAGGGAAAATGCAGTTGTTTTTGCCTGCAGAGATGGAACAGTGGATTGGAATGGCAAAAACTGCAATTTAACTGGAACCTTGAGAAATCCTTCACGGTTTTCATAACTTAGCCCAAATAAAAAAAAAATAAAAAAAGAGCTGCCTGTAAAGGCTGAATCGCCAAAGCAGAGACTGATTCAAAGGGAAGGGCTCTGTTCAGTGAAGTGCAACACTACCTACTAGAGCACCCACATATTCCTTAAAGTCCTTTCATCCACCTAGTGAGTAAGCCCATTTCTGCTTACTTGTGAAAATGGGCAATCTCAGAGGCAGGAGCACCAGGGTTGCAGGTGAAACAGGAAAGGTGTGGGTCACTGCTCCTGCACAGGACCCAGATGCACCTCACACAGCAGCCATCTCATCTTACCTGATCAGAGGGCGTGATACTCATGTGAGAACTGATCACAAGCACTTTTTTCTCCTGGTATCATATCTAACATATGCATTAACCAGCATTTCCCCTTCCCACCTCCCACCATTTCCCTGCCCAAACCTGCTCCAAAAAATGAAAGATTCAGCAGAACTGGATCTCCACCACAGCTGGTTCAGGGACTGTGTTCACTGAGGGCATAGTAAGGTGAAAGTGCCAAGGAATCACAGCGATAAGCTTAATATAATTATGAGCTCAAGACATTACAGATAATTTGGAGTTTCTTCTGACTATACAAAAGCAAAGAATCTCTGCACTGCTAAGAGTGGAAGGTCAGAACACAGGAGAGGTAGGTGAGTTAAGCAAAAATCAGCCTTCAGTGGGACCTCATATATCAATGTCATTCACATAAAAAGTAGTAAACAAAGTAGATGTTCTATGCATATCCTCAAGGAGAAACCCAGCTAACAGCCCTATGTCATCCCTGTCTGCCAGCCTCCTTCTCTGCTCCCTAGTGGGAGCCACACCAGGAATTGCACACACAAATAATCCCTGCGTGACACTGAGTCAGAAGGGGGGATATGCTCCTCAATTTCTCAAAACACCAGGAATCTCAGCTCCACTGAGTTCTGGATGTCCTTGCTCTCACCGATAACATCTCTGTGGTCCCAGCTTCCTCCAGAGGTCCCCAGGAGCAGGGTTTGGCTGGAAGTATTGGCAGAAGAGGTCTCTGAGCAAAAGAGGGTGGAATAGAAGGTGAAAGAGTGATTGTTGCATTATGCAGCATCCAGTCCCAACATGGGAGTTAGATTTTGATCTGCTTGCTGAAGTTTGCTATTTCTCCTCTGGTACCTGGTGGTCAGCTTGGTGCCAACATCTGTGTAACATCAAACATTTGCATCCATATGGAGAATGTATAATTAAAGCTTTCTGCAGACAACTGTGAAAACTTTCTCATATTCTCCCTAAATTGCATTGCAACCCCCAGATGAGGGCTGGGAGCCAAAATGTAAAAAGTCTGGCATAAATATTTAAATAACTTGAGATACGTATTCTTCAACTATTAGCTAATTATTTTGTGCCAGCCGTAAATGGCATCTGGTTCTTTAGCACAGAACACACAAGGATGCTGCAGGTTGGGCACATAAGTGGGAAATGAAATGTGACTTCATGCTAATTAATATTAATGAATGGATCGAGAACCAGCATCTCTTTGAAAATATGAACTCAACAGGAGCCCAAGTGTGATTCATTATGATTATTGCTGGGGTGACAGCCATTACCAATCTCAGAAAACCTCTGTTTCATGTAGCATCTCTTCAGGAAGGACTTAATTGGCTTCCAGAAGAAGTGAGGGAGAGCAGAGGAGGAGGTTTCAGACCAACCTGCAGGTATGTGTTTTATCATTGCACTGGAATAGGAGCAATAGTTACAAGTCCTTTAGAGTGTGTGTGTGCAGTGATTACCTCTTTTTGCTTGGTTTGCTGAGGCAAGAGCCATAGCCTGCTGTCAAAATCCTGCCGTATTCACTCCCATCCCTAAAAATCAAGTCCTTTCTTTTATTCCTCAGTCCCTCTCCCAGCAAACTCAGTCCCTTATTCCCTAGACACCACTCACTTTGCTGCTGCTCCAGACTGCCTTGGCAACCAGCTAGCTCAGCTCTGAAACCATGTACCTGAAGTGATTGTGTTTTGCCTGGGAAGGAGAAAGTTTGTTGTCTTTTTTCACACACCACCTCTCTGGGATGTGCTCACCATGATGCCAGGGGAAAGTCTGGATGGTTACCTGGGCAGTTTTCTCCCTTAGCTAACACACAGCCATATGATGGGAACTGCCAGACATTTCTGGCCTCTTCTTCCAAGCCTGGGTGGGTTGCTCTCCATTCCTGAAGCACACTCAGCCCTTACCAGGGAATGTTTGTTCTCATATGGAGATCTTGGACCATTAGCAGTTGGTAGCCTGTGGCTTTGCTTAGCTGTCATATTTGTACACCACACTGAGCGCCTGTGCTGATAGCTCTGCAGCTTTAAGTAGGGCTCAAATGGAAATGCTGGACCCTCTTTCTTTGTTTAAGCCTGTTGAATCAAGGAAAAGCTCTCCAAGTTGGTTTCTGCCCTTGAAGCAGCTTTTTAACTCCTATTATTATACACATTTGGGAAGTATGTTGGGCTTTTGGATTGCATCAATCTTTTTGCTACCTAGGAATTACCACTCATCCCATCATTTGCCAGCTATTTCTCTGCTGTGTTCTCTATTTCTCAGTCAATTTTCTACTAACAGCTGACTAGTCCACCAGCTAATTTCTCTCTGGTCTTGAACAAATATCAGCAAAACTCAGCTAAAGCTGAAAGCCTGGTGCAGCTTTACACTATAATTTTCCTGAATCAGGCAAGTACAAAGACCCAGTAGGACCAGTCATAGATCCCCAGAAATGGTAGGAGACCACTACATCTGAATCATCACTGCAATTCCCACTAGTACAGCTGTAACACTGCCACTCCTGCATTATCTTCACCACTCCCTTAAGTCTTTGTAAAATCAGTCATGTCACTGTGATGACTAACAGAAAATGAGAGAGGGCAATTGGTGTGCAACTTGTGCTGGGGGCTTAGGAAAGGAATTGGAAGCTGGATCTAGGAATCCTTCCCCAAGGTAGCTCATCATGTCTTGTGATTTCATGTAAAGCCCTTATATTTCCTCCCATCTTGCTTAAGACTGGATGGGAAATTGGGCTTACAAAAATGTAAGGAATCTCTCAATGCAGCAGAGACTGCTTCAGAGCCAAGTTTCCCGGGGGAAATAAATGATGAACAAAAACAAACAACAGCACAGCTCAAACGATTCCTCCCCTCACCACAGTCCTGAGATTTCATAATTGCTCCCTTCATGGCCATTTTGGTTTGTAATATGCAGAGTAAAGATTTCCATTATAGCTGTGTTTACTTAATCACTATAATTTTTTTAAGCGAAGTTCAGGCAGTTGAAAGCACCAGGCTGCCAGCCCCAAGCAAATTAGCCATCAGCTAAGTTGCACTGGAAGCTGTTCTGCTGTGATCCTGAGCAAAGGGTTTGCTCCCCAGCACTCTCTTCATTCTCAGATGGATCACTCAGATCTGGGAATGAGAAAGATATTTAGCATGTTACCCCCTTTACCATATCAGGCAAGAAAAGGAGGGTGTTTGTGTGCAAAAAATCAGTCTCTCGGAATGGGATGATCATGCGGACATTTGGGACTAGTCTGACATTCATCAGAGAGAAGCTAGAGAATGGACAAATGTAGAATTCATTTCAGAAAGCAGCAGGACATTGACTACATCCACAGAATAGTTTTTCCAGTGAGGTTACATTGAGTATTCTCATCGTGCATGGCACAATATCCCAGCATGAATATTTAATCATGCAGGGCAAATACAAGTTGGCTGAAATTCTAAGTGATGACAACTTTCAGATGACCTAGGCCCAGACTAGAATTTGTGATTTCAGATGGGAAGGTTCTACCTCCCATTCCTGTCCTCCTGAGACATTGATCTCTGCTTATGGGAGCTGGGAAACACCTTAGCCTTTATAAAAGAGCCACAGAGGACTTCAGCCAAATGAGACAAACACATGGAAACAGTCAGTACCTGCAGCTGCTGGAAGGGAGGCACTTCCCTGCTCAGGATGTATAAGATTTGCTGTCATCTGAGGCAGACATCAGCGACATCAACTTTTTTTTTTTTGCACTCTCATGGTTTCCAGTGCCCCAAGTCAAAGCCAGGCTCAAAACCAAAACACATTTCCATTGCCATTGTCAACCTGGATTGACCTGAGCTGCTGGGCAAAGATACCCCACTCTGTGTGCTTGTAACTTTTTGGAAATAAAATATCCAGCTTCTGAAAAAAACCTCAGGAGTGCAGTAGATGGTCTTCTTTGGCCCTAGTGGATCTCCAGCACAGTTGTCAGATTATTCTAATGGGCACTTTCACATAGGCCTTTCTGCAGGTTCTTCACCCTCACCTGCCACACTTCCCAAAGTCTCTACAGTGACAGAGAAAGGAGAAAAAAACAAGTGGCTGTGCATTGAATGATAGAGCCATTAACATTGGAAAAGACCTCCAAGATCATAAAGTCCAGCCTTTGACCAATCACCACCTAAAGCACCTAAACTCAACAGCAGTAAGTGCCACATCCAGTCATTTCTTGTACACTTCCAGGGATGGTAACTTCCCCATCTTCCCAGGCAGCCCATTCCAATTGTTAACCACTCTTGCCATTAATAAATTCTTCCTGATATCCAGCCTGAACCTCCTCTGGTACAGCTTAAGGCCATGTCCTCTTGTGCTGTCACTTGCTGCCTGGGAAAAGAGGCCAAACCCCACCTGGCTACAACCTTCTTTCAGGTAGTAGAGAGTGAAAATGTCTCTCCTGAGCCTCTTCCTCTCCAGGCTGAACACCCCCAGATCTCTCAGCTGCTCCTCAGACTTGGGCTCCAGACCCTCCCCCAGTTCCAGCACTTCAGTGCCTTTCTTGATTTTCTCTGGGCTCACTCCAACACTTCAGTTCCTTTCTTGAAGTCAGGGGCCCATTGGTTTTGGGAGAGACTACAGACCAGCTCTACCACAATATCATGTGCCATAAATCCCACAGAAAGGAGTAAGTTCAGTTCTCCTGGCCAGAAGATACCACAGCACTGGGGCTCAGTGCATGATCAGACAAAAAGTATATACATCATCAAGCAAACAGGGTGTTAACATGCTTATTTCTTTTTGTAGTAAGATCAAATTCCTCTAGTCTCATCTTTAAGTCACTGTAACTCATTTCTTACTTTCTGTTGATAGGAATATAATTCAGTCACTTCAGCAAGGTTTCCAGGCACTGGTGAATGGTCCCTGCATTGACAGCTCCAAGCATTATCCCCATTTCCTAGTGGGAGAGATTCAGAAATTTCAATATCACCTCTCTTTGCAGAAACAAATCCACATAAAGTGGAGCTATCATAGCAAATTTTAGTGCACGTGTTTGTGTCACAGAGAGGTGGAGGGGAATGCAGGAGAATTTCACTGTACAGGCAACAGGCAGAAATTAAAAGAGCACCAAGTGGCCAGGTGGTGAGGGAACTCACTTCTGATTTACAATTGCAATGATTGCGATGAATAGGGAGAGGCTGTGATTAAAGATGTGTCTGAAAATAACAGTAATGATTTCCACTTGTATGCCTTTGATCAGGCAATCTCACAGTATTGTATAAATGAAACCTTCCAATATCTCTGTGAGCTTGGAAAGCCTTCTACTGACACGAACATGTCAGAAATAAATACCAGCTGAATGGTGTTAGACAGGTGATGGCTTAGATATTTCATCCTCTCTTGGAAGAAGAGCTTCTAGAGATGGAATTTGTCCCAATTATAACAGAGGAATAGATCCTCAGTATGAGCTATATTGGACTACATGCATAAATTACTGTGCAAAATGATCATTCAGCCCATTCAGTTCTCATTTATGCAGGTGAAAATGCCAATAAGGGAACTAATCACCTGTCTGTAAGGATGATTTTGAAAGATGGAGACATTGCCCATCAAGAACACCACTGGGAGTCATCAGCTCTGTTCAAACAGGCTGCTGGTAACCATCAGGAGGTAAGAACTGTACTTCCAGTCTCAGTGACTGCAGGACTAATTTGAGTGAGCCATCTGGAGTGGAAAAAATGTACATTCGTTACCGTGCCCTTGTGCACTACATTCCCCAGCACAAAACTGTGCAGGACCTTCACATCCAGCCATAAGCCTGATATGGAGTGTCCTGGGCACCTCACCCCACCTGGCTCCCTGTAAACCAGGAGGCATCTAGGCAGCTTTTCCACAGGTTTTGCAGCTAAATCCCATCCAAGGGCAGAAGACATCACTGAATAATTCCCTTGCAATAGCAGAGTGGACCCAAAACTAAACAGGGCATGTAGTTTTCTGTGGTCAGGCAATTTATTATGTTTGTTAAGATTGACACAGTTATGTTTGGTCTTGATGTTGGTGTCGAGAGGGTTAAATATGGCTCAAAACTTATTTCACTTACAATTATGTTCATCCTCCTGTCACCAAGAACAAAACCAAAATATACTCTGATATTCAGATCTAGCTATTTTAGTTTGCACTCTTCTCTGTTATTCAGTGAATATGAAATTACTTTTCACCAGTTCAGAAGATATTTGTATAGTATTTTTCACATATAAGTTGTTGAGGTCAGTCACCCCAACTTCACTGTTATGGTTGATAACCATAATTCCTGGCCTTCCTCAAGAGCCAGTAATAAGCTGCCTGCATTAATCCTATTTAGATGTTTGATTTGGCTATATCTGTCAGCAAACAGATTATATAAATACAAGATTTAAAGGGAAAAAAAATCCTCATACTGCACATAACTAAGAGCAGTTTTACCTTGGTAAGGAGAAGGAAAGCATCACCCAGCTAGTCAAATGCCAGAGATGCTCTCCAGGTAGCCAGAGGAACCTCTCTCCAAAAGATAAGGCAATCCTTAAGCTATTTAGGGCAATGTCAAAACACCACCCTTAAAAACTTTGAATTTAAATACATTTTATGAGGAAAATCTGCCTGAAATCCCTAAAAGCCTTTACAAAGGAGTCCAGGTCTAAAGCCAGGGTGTTGGCTCTGCCCTCACTGCTACTGTTCCCTGCCCTGGGGACAGGTCACAACACCCCTGTGCCCACAGAAGGGCTCAGGGCAAGCTGCTCCCTGCTCACCTGCAGCAAAAGCTGTCCACCAGCAGCAGGGAGGTGTTAGCTGTGTGAGCCCTCAGCCACCCAGCCCAGAGCATCCAAACACCCTCAACTCCTTCCCTGCCAGCCTCCTACAGCCCCCTTGAGCCTAGCCAGGTTTTGTTGGAAAGAGGAGAGCTGTGCAGGTATTGCTGTGTCTGCCTGTTCCCCTAACAGGTGCTCTGCTGAGTAGATCCTGCTGTGTTTAACAGCCTCCCCCACCCCCCTGTAACCTACTTACATATTTTCTGTGAGTCTGCTGGCCTGGTGATCTTGCACTAGGTACGGTCCTTGGCAGCTGCTCCAGGGAAGGGTTACATGGCTCCTGTAATTAAAACAAGGTGGAAAAAGGCAATTTCTCTGCTTACCTGAAGGAAAAAAAAATGGGGATAAGGGTAAGGATACCCTTAGCTGCTGACATGAGGAATAGCAAGACAAGGCTTAAGGATAAATTGCCTCAGAGTTCCTCTTTGGTTGTTAATACAGAGTAGCACCAGAAGCCATCAGGCCCTGTGCTATCACTCAAGTAGCATGAACAATTATGGTCATATGTGGAAAAAGTGTGGTCACGTTTGATTTCTTCTGGCCTTCTTCCTTCTCCTTCAGCTCCCTGGAATAACTCACCAAGGCACACCAAGTAGAGACCTCAATTACACGCGCCATTGGCACCCCCAGTTCTGCAAGCAGCAGAAGCAGTACTCCTTGGAAACATCATTAAGCACAAAACTCAGTTGAGTTTGTCCTGTCAACTCATTATCTGGGATTTTTATATCTGTATGAATATGTACATGGTACTGCCACCCTCTGCACTCCTGTACAACCATGCCTGATCCTGGTGTATTTCAAGTGGAAACTTCTCAAGGCAGGTACTCCTGGGTAGCACATGCACAACAGAAAGGGCTTAAAATTCAGACCAGGCTTATGCTGACAGCTGGTCCAATGTGAGGGAAACCTCTGTTCCTTATAACCTGACAGTGGGGAAGATGGTTCTATGCCAGGGGCTGAATCAGTCGGTGGCATCATTAATACATCTGATGCAGTCTCTGTGGGAGTGCACTAGGGTAATTCAGGTTGTGGGTGTCAGAAAGAGTGCATTAGTTATGGGGAGGTGGGGGTTTTAATCAGAAAAAAAAGTACAGTATTTTTCTGCAGGTTGTTATGAAATCACTTAAGAGAGCATGTTGCAAGTCATTCTGCTGAGAAATGAAGCATCCAAAAGAGAAACTGCTGTGGGATGCTGGAGAACTCATATACTCAGTAATTGGGAGACTGATGCAATGAAAGTTTATCAACTGACTGAGATGAGATGGAAGCAGAGGCTGGAGAATAAGGATTACAGAGTTTCTCTTCTCAGCAGAGCTGTCTGTTTTCAGATAAGATTGCAAGCGCTGCATTAGGATTCTCACAAATGCTGGGTGGCTGCAGCCACAGCCCTCTGTAGAGACCCTTTATTAGCAGAAAATAAGGAGATTCTGGAGACCTGCACTGAAACGTCACAAGCTGCTGTAAAATCCCCAGGACAACATCCAGCACTCTATTTTCACTCTACAACTCTCCTGAAAAGATAGGGACATAAATAATGGACTGTAAGGAAAGGAGGGGTGGTTTCTTGCAACTTCCCTCTGCAGGGAGAGTGTTCCTAGAATAAACCCTTGCTTTGGACACTGAATGAAAGAAATCTGGATCTGGTGGGCAGGATGGTGTTAAGGTTGCAGGCAGATGCTGGTGGAGCCTTCTGCTGTTTTCTCTCTCCCTAACATTGTTTCCAGAGACAGTAATTGGACATTTAACTTTTATGTTGGTGTAGTAAACTAACCTTGCCGTTAACTCTGTCTGGTAATAAAATATGGTCTCTCTATAAAGAGGATTTTCAAGACAATTTTTTTTTACAAGGCTTAGAGATTTTTTTTTTTTTTTTCAGAAAGGGTAAAGTGTTTTTCAAGTCTTTCCCAGCCAGAGTTAATTGTGTCATTACCAAGAGCTGGGACACAAGTTTCACATTTTCCCCACAGGGGTTGTGGTCCAGTAACACTGGCTGCTTTACCATGAAAAGGGAATTTCCATTCAGTGTGTAGCAGGAGAAGCAGGATCATGGATTCTCATGCTGAGAATAATCTGTTCACAGAAAGGGACTGTAAAGAATCCTCCAGGCTGGTGGAGCTGAAGGTTCTGTAAATGCTGGACAGACTGGCCCTTGCAGATTAGTCCAATGGGCCATGAGGCTCAGAAGGAAATTTGGCCATTATTTCCTCTGACAGTGATGGAGGTAGCATGGGGCCCTAGACACTGAGTTACCCATCGTGCCACAATAATTCTTCCCGGAATGCCATCATCCCTGAGACCATTTAGCATTTCAGCGGTTGCTCCAATCTACTCTGGGCTAACACTTGCTCAATAAACTATAATAAACCTATTAGATAGGTTTGCTGAAGTGTACTGCCAGACTGGGACAGAGTCATTTTTCACTGCATTCGGTTACGTCCAAAGTAACGGACCAACAGGAATTAATGTTGATGTGATGGAGTTGTGCGGTCTGAAAATGACCTTTTCCCTTATCCTCACACTCTTTTCTGAGAGCTCTTCTTCTGTGGGGCAGAGCAAGTGTGTGTGTGCCACTGCAGAGGGATCCCCTCCCCAGATGTAACCATGCTGTCATCCAGGTCTAGGGAACCATGCTCTGTCAGTTTCTAAATTATGAGCAAAAGAGATTTTTTTCTCCTCACTATCTGAGGGCTTTTAGTATCTACAGCGTACCCTTTTCTTTATTAATTAATGTTATGTTTAAAACATAAGTAGGTTCTTATTTCTGCTTGGTACTTATTATAATGCCTCGTCAGCACTTCAGTGCCTCTCCTTTGCCATCAGCCTCAGAGCTGGGTTCAGCTCCTGATGTGTCACCCTGCTCAGAACTGTGGTTGGCAGCCCCAGCACCGGTAGCACAGGGCTGGGGGTAACGCAAAGCCTGGAAAGGAGAGCCTTGCACTTACCTGCCTGCGTGCGGATGAGGAATGCCAGGCCACGGAATGCTTCCCTACCTGGCCCCAGGGCTGATGCAGGGCCCCTGTCCCAGGCTGGGAGGTGTCACCTCTGCGGTGCTGTCACCACTGGGGTGCTGTCCCCATGTCTGCAGGAGCATGCTGTGCTCACTGGCAAGGCTGGCACCTGCAGCAGGGGGATAAACAAGAGCAGATTTGGTTTTAGCGTGGCAATTCGCTGAGGTGATATCCACAGGCAATCTTTTACTCCAGTCTTGGTGTTATACCTCTGTCAGGACTAGTGCCATTACTGCACTTTTTGCTGAAAGGAAAAAAGCGCGGCGAGAAGCCCTCCCACGGGAGCTCTCTCTGAGAAGCGGTCGGGCTCAGAGCACCCAGGCAAGCCGCCAGTCTCAGCCGGGCAGGACACTGTCGCCAGTGTGTAACCACCAGCCCGAGGTCTGTGTCTCATCACTGCCCTTCTCCAGTGAGGCAGGGCGTGTGTGGGATGCGGGATGGAAAAGGTGCCACACGGGCGACCCACCTGCCCGGCCCCGCTCCCCCAGGAGGAGCCGCGGGCAGACGGCGGGCAGGAGCTCGCCTTCCCCCCTTAAAGCACAGCTATATTTAGAGGCGAATTGCAAACAAAGTGACGGTGAGCTGCCGCTGCCCATAAATTATCCAGCTGCGTGGGATGCGAACGGGCTCACCGACACCACGGCCGCTCCTGCGGCAGCGCGGGCAGAGAGGCACCCGGAGCGAGGAGATGCTGCCTTCCCAAATCTTGCGAGCTTCCCCCCGCACTGCCCCGGCCCACATCTC